TTGGATCAAACCAAAGTAGTCGAATAAAAGAGAACATTTTTCATATATATTTTATTCAAATACAAAAAGTTACGAAATAAGCATAAATAATATTACAACAGATTCCGTAATATTATTAGTCGCACCATTGATATATTCTATACAAATTAACCGATATAAACGTTTGAATTAGGATTTTGCCACTATTTCATCAACGACATCTACATTTGGTATGAAAAACACACTGACGGGATGTTTGGTTGCTATGTACTGTTTTGTTTTGTTTTTGTTTTTTTAACGATATGAAGCGAATGGCAAAGGTCATGGCTTAGTATGTGGTAATAGTCACTATTGCAAGGGGAGCTGATAAAATTGAATTCTGAATCCAGCTACTCATTGGCTGAAAAAAAACGCTAAACATTATATCTACTGAACACCAGCTTTCAGGATTGTTATGAGAATGCCTAACGACTGCCTATTGCCTGACGGAGAGATCTGCCGGCGCTTTCTGCAAGCCAAGCTTTTGTATTTCCTCCTGCGCGGTTTGGCTGACGCTGAGGCCCCACCGCTGGTACGTCAGGATGAGGTCGTGACCCACGATCTTGCTCAGCGTCCGGTACACGTAGTCGATCTGCAGCTGGTGGTCGGAGGCCAAGTATTCCGCCTCCTTCTTCGAGAGGGCGCGTGTCGTTCGGTTCAGCTGGCGGAACATCTCCCAGCCCTTGTCGGGAAATGCATATTTGATCTCCATCAGGAACACCAGCTTCTGCCAGCAATTGGCTTCTTCAAACGTGAGGCCTTGGTCCACTGCCTCGGAGGCTAATCTGTACTTGTCGTTTTTCTTTAGTCTGTCCTTACCGAAGAGCATTTCCCCGATGTATAAGGAGAACAAGTTGACCGTTGACTCGACTCCGTAGGCGCGCGCCCAAGTCCGGGCTTGCTGGTAGTTGTGGCCGAGCTCGTGCCAGACGCACCAGCGATGCGGGGTTTCGAACATGGCCAGGTTCCTGATGCGCCTGTTGACCATGACGGGGAAGCCCGCGTGAGCCGAGCCGTGCGAAATCTGCAGATCGTTGACGAGCCAGTACTTTCCCCTCGGCGGCGGGTCACTCTCCGTGAAGCCCGCGAGGAAATTCAGTTTGTCCACGACGTCCTCGTATCGGCGCATCAGCTGATCGGGGAAGGCGAAGCTCGTGACGGCTGAGCTCCGCACCACCAGGACAATCCTGCCGCTCTCCAGCACCGCGTGGGGGGCGCCCGACGTCCTAGAGACCCTCCATTCGTGCACGGTCGTTTTGTCGAGCCTAAAGTGCGGAGCTCGAATAACATTTTTCACATTAACATCTACTAAGAACACCTCACCTTCTCTGAATATGAAGATCAGGTTTCCTCCATACTGGCTTCGGAGGAGATTTATACCTGGGTTGACAGTGAAAGTCTCTGAAACAACTGGCATCCGCTTGAACCACTTGCTCTTTTTCGTTGTACCAGACGATGGACGAAGCTTATCGATGTGAGCGCCAACGCAAACGGTGATCTGCCGTGCCTGTTCAAGTGGCAGGCTTTCGGGAAGGGTAACCAGGAAGATGTCTCCTGCGGCCACATACAGGTCGGTGGCCTGCCAGTCTCGAGGGGTCGTCATGCGCAGGTTGCTGGCTTGCCCCAGCGCCGAGAGGTCCAGCGTGAAGGTCTTCTCCACCCGCGGCGTGGCGTCGTCCACGGTGCCGGGGAAGGTGGCCACGTCACGAGGGAAGGGCAGCGGCTCGTTCAGCGGGGCGAGTTGGTTCAAGAGGCCCCGGGCAATCTCCTGGTAGTATATGGCAATATGGACAGACGGGAACGGGTACACCGCTGGACCTGCACCCTTCAAGAAGGCTTGCAGCTCCACGTTTGTCCACCACATTTGGTCCGACCCGTTAATCGTCGAGCGGAGGATCACGCGCGTTCTGTGTCTCCCCGGGGGCACAGTGAGCACCCGCGACCCTAAGACCATCCTGCCCTCGGCGTCCTTCGTCCACTTGATCGTCGAGGAAGCGCACTTGACCAGCCGGACCGTAATGTCGCCAGGGACGGGAGCCAGGCAGTACGAGCGGTCGCCGCCCCACTGCCACTGCCCGGCGCAGTTGTACCACTGCTTCTCGCGGCTGTCACTGGGACTCGTCATCCCAATCACTGCGTTCTCCGGCGATGAGCCACTTATGACAGCTAGACATGTATGCGTGGCCTGATTTATGAGATAAAGTTTGTGTGTTTCGGATCTGTCATCTTGATCTATTTCCATATTAGGAGCAGCCGAATTTTCAGCCATGTTGCCTGCACATGCAAATAGAGAAATATATGTAAGTGTATGCTACACATTTTTTGGCGTGAATTTTCTCACATCTAATGATCAATTGCCAGAAAAAAATAGTCATAAAAAGAAATCATGTCAGGAGAACCTAGGATGGTTTAATCCCTCTGACGTAGCGGTACAGGAGGTTGGCAGAGATTCGCATCGCGTTCATTTCTGGATTGGTTTTAT